CTCCACAATATCTGGTCCTCCCACAAAGTGATACCAGATACCTCATACTGTCTGGTCTCCCACAAAGTGATGTCTGGTGTCCCACAAAGTGATATCAGATGCCCCACACTGTCTGGTCTCCGACAATGTGATATCTGGTATCCCGCAAAGTGATATCAGATGCTCCACAATATCTGGTCCTCCCACAAAGTGATACCAGATACCTCACACTGTCTGGTCTCCGACAAAGTGATATCTGGTCTCCCACAAAGTGATATCAGATGCTCCACAATATCTGGTCCTCCCACAAAGTGATACCAGATACCTCACACTGTCTGGTCTCCGACAAAGTGATATCAGATGCTCCACAATATCTGGTCCTCCCACAAAGTGATACTAGATACCTCACACACTGTCTGGTCTCCCACAAAATGATGTCTGGTGTCCCACAAAGTGATATCAGATGCCCCACACTGTCTGGTCTCCGACAATGTGATATCTGGTATCCCGCAAAGTGATATCTGGTCTCCCACAAAATGATATCAGGTGTCCTGTCAAAATGATATCAGGCGTTCCACAAATCTGGTGCCCCACAAAATGATATCATGTATCCCACAAATCAGGTGTCCCGTCAATTATATCTGGTGTCCCACAAAGAATAAGCATACTCTGTATTGCACAGCAAGTCAATGCATGAGAAATTTTAGATCAATATTCTACATGTATTACATTTTCATTTTCAAAAATTTAACAAACTCCACATGTACATGCAGTACCTAAATCAATCAAAACAGCAATCTTCTTGAGTAAAGTAAGTTTAATGCATTTAAACGCCCACGGGGAGCAGCATACAATTACAAAATGAAAGAAAGAAAATTCACATTAGAACAAACATACATAAACATAGATAAACGCTGCCTTGTTCAGTACTGATTCAAGGGTGTTGTTTAAAGAAGCCTACATCGAACAGTAGAAAGCAATCTCCTTGAGTAAAAATCAGCAATATCTGGGCCCTTATTCATGAAAACTTAAACTAAGATACACTCGAAATTTTAAGAAATACTGCAATTCGATTGGCTGACCAGTAAAATCAATTTGCATATATTCAATGAAGTTGCAGTATTTCTTAAAATTTCAGTTGTAACTTAGTTTAAGTTTTCATGAATAAGGGCCCTGATTTGTAAATGTTTATTTTTCTTGCAATAGATAAAAAGAAAATAATTCTGTGTGTAACATCAGCGAGGTTGAAGTCTTCGATTTTGTGTGAATTTTTGAAGATGGGCATTGTGTCGTGCAATATAAATACTAAATCACTGTATATTCTAATAACTACAACCTGATTAAAACACAGATCCTATTTCATTTTGTTTTTTATAGTTTAAGATTTCGTTTTACTTGTCTTTACTGCACTAGGATCTGGAAGAGTTGTTATCATTGACTTGTTCTGAATGATGTGAGGGAATAGCTAATGAAATGGTCTGTTACGGCGAGCTTTAGGCGTGTTTTACGTTGAAGTGTGGGTAATCCATTAGAAACATCAATGCTGATTGGTTAATCATATGTCTGATGTCATAGGGTCAAAAGCCGCTTGTATGACCTCTGACGCGACTTATCCCTACAACTTGTCAGATCTTCATGTAGTGTAGGTCATTGAAAGTATAAAAAAACGAAACGAAATATAGATCTGTATTTTAATCAGATTGCAATAACTACATACACCACTTATTCTGGTTTTTAATTGAGTAATTTCCTAGAGATATAGGTAGATTGATATCAACATTATATAGGTTGATGGCTGGTAGATTTATTAATCATATACACAGTTAAATATTTTAATAAACATAATCTTGAGTCCTGACATTAAGCTGATGTGTGGTGACATAACTTCCACTGATTAAAGATTTATTACCCAATTTACGCTGTATATTAAAGTAGTTTTCTCTTTATTACTTATCATTGTATGACATAATATAACTGAAACTAAAAACTGTAACTTGGGTATCATTTAATCTTGTGTATTTAGCACTAATTTCTTTCACATTCCTTTAATATCAAATTCTTGTTTAAAAATTTGTGAAAATCATTGAAAATCACCAAAAATCATCTTATTTATACTCCCCTCTCTCTCTCTCTCCCTCTCTCTCTCTCTCTCTCTCTCTCTCTCTGATCCAAAAGCACAAAAATTTGCACATATTATTATGATCTTATTGATGTATTTACTACATTAATACAACACAAGTTTTATAAAGGGCAAAATTGTAGTTAAAATAAGGCGAACAATTTTGAGTAAATTCTGTGAATGTTTTGTGAACTCGAGGCCAAGTCTCTTGTTTTCGTCATTGTTACCAGTCTTCACTGATCAGGGCCTATTTTCTTTGGCAAAGCACGGTTTCCGCGGTTTTGGGTTCCGTAATAATTTCCAGAATTTGACTTCCGAAAACACGATATCACGTTCACACTTTTATAACCAAAATATAACAGAATTAACATATTTATATTTATAACCATGTGTCAGTTTCATTACCTGTCCAAAGAAATATCCAAAGAAACGTCTAAATGCAAACGAACCTTCATTGTCACCTGCACCTGCCAATGTTCCGCCATGTAATATTCATGCTTTAGGTGGTGGGGGGAATACGTCAACAATACAAAACTTTTGAAACAGATATCGAAAGTGTCGATAATCATAATGATAGGTCTTGTCACTGATGGACAATGAAATTGACCAGCTGTGAAATTAAATTATAACATGCTTAAGGGTGAATCTTGTGTTTTGATTGGTCAATTAGACACCGTCGATTGGACAGTAACATCCATATGTTTTAGTAATTTCTTTTAAAATGCTAAAATAAAATGTCACAATGTCGATAAACACTTCCTGTTTCTTGGACAATAACACCCCTCTAAATGGGAAACAGTTAGTTTTTATCTCCTAAATAACAAATAATTTATCCCTTAAGATGTCATAAATACTGTTAAATTTATAGTGTAAAAAGATTAAAGGCTCAATACCACTCTTGTTGTAACTGAATAATATGTCCCAATCTTTATTCTGGTCAACAAATTGTACTATTTTACAATATTCCAGTTAATTGATGATACAAATTTCATCTTAACACACCTAATATAAAAAATTGGAAAAATTCAACTCAATGATTTGAAAAGCCTGACGTAAAGCTTTTCAAATGTGACTTGGATTTAAAAATATTTTTGAACCCTCTGGACAAGTAAACTAGGATTTAATGGATAATTTACACAACACATAGGACACTAACACATCTAGTACTTAGAATAAGGCTATTTTTTATTTTCTGGAGCTGTCAAGCCAGCAAGAGTGTTAATGTCCCTTTAAAAAACATTAAAAAATTGTCTGACAATCGAACACAATCTGAAAACCAAAATACATCCTCATACTATAATATAAATATCTTACCTTGTTTCTGATATAAAGTTGTCACTGTACTGAACAATAGTTTATATGTGTAACTCACCTTATGTAATGTTGAAAGTAATGAAGATAGATAGTTTGTTATCACATTGCATAAAATATTAGATAATAAAACTACACCCCCTTTTAATAAGATCACTTAAAGTAGAGAAAGGGAGAAATGGGGTTTAATGTCCGCTCGACACAAACTAGGTCATTTCGGAACTAACATATGGTTTAATTTTATTTGAATAATTTGCTTGCACTTGGGGGTTTTTAGCAGTGGGAGGAAACTAGGATCCGGAGAAAACACACAAGGTTGGACAGGTGACCCTACTCCTGGTCATGTACAACTGGGGAGTCGAAACCATGCTAGTTGACGCAATGACGCGCGCTAAACATTGGGCCATCCAACCCAGTGTGCTGATATGTATGTGGTAAAGCTTGCCGACTAACATTTGTTGGCGTTTAACAAAAAAAATGTTTTTATCTGTTTTAAATTTCCCGCACACAAAGAATGACCAAGATTTGTTCAAAAGAGACCAACAAATTGATAAAAATACATATTTATGGATAATTGATAAAAATACATATTTATGGATAATTGATAAAAATACATATTTATGGATAATTAATAAAAATACATATTTATGGATAATTAATAAAAACACATATTTATGGATAATTAATAGAAACACATATTTATGGATAATTAATAAAAAAAACCCACATATTTATGGATAATTAATAAAAAAAATTATATATTTATGGATAATTAATAAAAATACATATTTATGGATAATTAATAAAAACACATATATTTATGGATAATTAATAGAAACAGATATATTTATGGATAATTGATAGAAACAGATATATTTATGGATAATTGATAGAAACACATATTTATGGATAATTAATAAACATACATATTTATGGATAATTGATAAAAATACATATTTATGGATAATTAATAAAAACACACATTTACTGATTTGTTCTTATATTTTCGAACACAGTTGCCCTGATAGCACCTTATATGTGCATGGCATATGTCTGTCGTTATTAGGCTGGTTGATACAGAGATGTAGGACTTTAAAATCCATTTTATTTGGGAATTTATTTGTAGCGGACACTTACAGTTAAGTCAACTGAGAGAATACATGTACATGGTACCTAAAAAGTTCTGATAGAATAATGAACTTAAATGGACTTCTGAACATGACAGATACAATTTATTTACAATTTTAATCTTTGTAGAGAAGTTTAAAAATGTATAAAAATGTTTTCAGTAATTTCTTCCAAGAGAGAGATAGTATTGAACATCGACTTGACACAACTAGGTCATTTCAGGGTTCAATTTTATTTCAATGATTCACTTGCGCACAGGGATCTTTAGCAGTGGGAGGAAACTCGAGGACCCGAAGAAAACCCAAGCCACTAGACCACTCAGCACCTCCATAACCTGTTCTGAGTTGACAAGGAGTACGGTCGCCTGTCCAACATCGTGGGTTTTCTTTTTCCATATAAATTGTGTTGTGTTTTTTAAAAATCTAACACTTTCCCTAATGTTTGTTTCTTTGATATTTTTCAGTAAAGTTCAAGTTCTGTATGGAGGAAATGAAATATTCGATTATGAAATTGATTCAACTTTTTGGAGGGATATAAAAATGGCAGCATATTCGTTAGCATCCATCATATTTATAATGTTTATACTGACATCATTCTCACCTTGGTTGACTATATTGGGAATATGGAGCATCATGTTGAGTTTTCCACTCGCATTCTTTTTATACAGAATAGTTTTTAATATTAATGCTCTTGGAATTCTGAATGGTGCTGCAGCTTTTGTCATTATCGGAATCGGTAAGAATATTTTCATGCTATTATATTGATGAGCACAGGAGAACCGCACTACATGTACGTGAAAACAAAATCGACAAGACAACCCTACATCTGGCCACTAGCACATTCTGGAAATTTGATGTATTTTTTTTTATTATGTTTCTTTATACTAAAGTGACAGGGCAGGGCAGGGCAGGGCAGGGCAGGGCAGGGCAGTAACAAATGCTGTAGGGTTAACAACATGGAAATATAGTTGTATTTCGCTGTCACCTTCGCCCATCCAATGTCCACAATTTCTTGTGAACACTCTGCAGACTACATTTATTATCTGATCATTTGTAAATTTTTAGATGTTGTTTATACCAGTCAGTGGAAGAATCCTATTGCATTTCAAAAATTTCCAATAGTTACTTCTAGAGTTATGGCCTTTGTTGAACTTTGTTGAACTTTAAAGATTGGCATACGCCATACAGTGTGCTATGAGGGAAATTTTGCCCAGAGAGCAACGCTTCGGTCTACTCTTATATCGTATTCCAACTGTCAATAGATCTCTTACATGCATGCCAATGTGTCCATGGGACCACGGTTTTTGGTCCCATCCCTGAAAAGGCGGAACCACGTTGGAAAATCCCGATGAACTTTCTCAACCAATACAGGGATTGAACATGTGACCGTGACTCCCTAGGCCTGTGCCGATACAATCTTCACTCAATGATACAGTCTTCACTGAAAATGAAACAAGGAATGATTTACAAGAAAGATGTAAGGGATTGGTCAACTCCTGAATGGTGATAGTCAGCCAGTAGCCCGTCTTCATAGCCAAGTCGGCTACATGTAAAGTAGCTACATGTAAATCTCTAACTCAATATCATCCAAAGTCTTCGACATTTAACACACGGGACTAGACATAATCCACAGGGTCTCAAATATTAGCGATTTAGCTCCTTTAAAGGGACATTATGGGAGATTAGATAAAGAGCTGGCAGTTCTCACTATAATAGTTAAAAATTAGATAATGTAAAGAGAATATGCTGAAAATGTCAGTCACATTGCTCCACTCTGAACCGAGATATTAGTGATTGAATTTTAGACCTAGCATTCATCATCATTACTTATGATAAAAAACATTTTCTCGATTATCCATTTTTGGAATTAATCATCAATGAGTGTTCAAATCCAGCGAAAACTTGACACATAAGATGGCATCGAGAGTTGATTAAGGTCTTTTCATGTTAATAAATGTCTAATTAATAGTTTATATAACATTTCAGGCCTAAAAAAGACCTACATAGGCAATTTTAGCTCTTGTATAATATATGTTTAAACCACCTTTCATTTTATAAGTCAACCAGTTAATATGTTATTTATGTTATTATTATTTTTATGTTTTTCAGGAGTAGATGATGTTTTTGTTTTTATTAATATATTTCATCAAACTGGTGATGCCTGTATACCCACGGTCGCACATAAGATAAAACACACCGTTATTACAGCAGGAAAAGCAACATTTTTTACGTCATTTACGACAGCTGCTGCCTTCGCAGCTAACATGGCGTCATCTGTAAGCTTACATTATAGTTCATTTTAGATTTTAATCATTGTTATGTTGTCACAAGAGGAGGGAGAAGAGAGAGAGAGAGAAATGGGGTTTAACATCCACTCAGCACAAACTAGGTCATTTTGGGACTGACATATGGCCATTCACCCCAACCCCCATCATTATTTTTCGAGATTTTACTATGGTATGGTTATGTTGGTTCATTTTTCGACTGCCCCCGTTTATTTGGGGTGGGGGTGGGGGGGATGGCCGAATGGTTAGTGCGTGCATGCTGTATCATAAGGTCTGTCATTATTAATTCAATTGGCGTGGTTGTACGTGACAAGGAGTAGGGGTCACCTGTCCAAACTCGTAGGTTTTCTCTAGGTCCTCTGATTTCCTCCCACAGCTAAAGAACCCTACGCGCAAATGAATTATTGAAATAAAATTAAACTATATGTTTGTCCCAAAATGACCTAGTTTGGGTCAAGTGGACGTTAAACCCCATTTCTCTCTCTCTCTCTCTCTCTCTCTCTCTCTCTCTCTCTCTCTTATTTGGGGCAAAAATGATACAAGGGAAATCCGCCAATGTATAAGCTTATACAATTGTTTGTAGTTTTAAAGAGATCTAAGCTGTCATGAGTTATTTTAATTGACGATGAATATGGTGTTTATTTGTATTTTTAACCAGATACCAGCCGTGTATGAATTTGGATTGTTTATGTCGCTGATTGTGAGCTGTTGTTGGTTATCTGTAATAATAATAATGCCACCAACTTTATATCTGTGGCAGGTTCTCTTTAATAACTGTGAAAATAAATGTTATTTTTGGTGAGTATATTTATTTTAAAATAATATAGAGGTTATATCTTTGAGAGTCACTGGAGCTGTGGTGACTAAGCGTGTATGACGCTGGTTCGCTAGTCTGGAGGTTGCGATTTTGTCTGGATTTTCCGGCATGGTTTCCCCATGTCAGTGGTGCAGGACGGAGGTCCTTACAAGGACAGCTGTCTAGTCATTTGGATGGGACAAAAAACTGAGGTCCTGTGTACACATTGCGTGCACATAAAAGATCCCTTGGCAGTTGGAATTCGATATAAGAGTAGTCCATAGTGCCGCTGCCCGGGCAAAATTTCTCTCATAGCACACTGTATGGCGTATGCCCGTTTTCATTAGCCCAGCAAGTAGTGTGGTTTCGATTCCCAGCTTGTATGTAACGAAGGGGGGTCGGATGGCCGAATGGTTAGCATGTGCGCGCTGTATCATCAGGCCTTTCATTGAGTCAACAGGCGGGGTTTCGAATCCCTGTCGTACGTGACAAGGAGTAGGGTTGCCTGTCCAACCTCGTGGGTTTTCTCCGGGTCCTCCGGGTTTCCTCCCACTGCTAAATACCTAGTTTGTGTCGAGTGGACGTTAAACGTGACAAGGAGTAGGGTTGCCTGTCCAACCTCGTGGGTTTTTTCCGGGTCCTCCGGGTTTCCTCCCACTGCTAAATACCTTGTATGTGACGAGTTCCTCCAGGCCCTTTGGTTTCCTGCCATTGCTAAAGACTCCTACGCGCAATGACATTATTTGTTTCGAGTGATTGTTAAACCCCATTTCTCTCTGTGGGATATCCCGGTTCTCCGCACCCCCCGGTCAGTGGTAGATGACAAGTGTCTCGTGTATACCATGTACAGCAATAAAAGATACCATGATAGTTGGAATCCATATAAATATAAAAAATGAAATGAAATGGGGTTTAACGTCCTACTGTTTTGCTCCGAACAGGGCTAATGAAGACGGGCATACGCCATACAGTGTGCTATGAGTGAAATTTTGCCCGGACAGCGGCACTACGGCCTACTCTTATATCAAATTCCAACTGCCAAGGGATCTTTTACGTGCACACCAATGTGTACACGGGACCTCAGTTTTTCGTACCATCCGAACGACTAGACAGCTTTCATTGTCAGCCCCTCCGTCCTGCATCACTGACAAGGGAGAACCACGCCGGAAAATCTGAATGAACTTTCTCGGCCAATGCAGGGATCGAACACCCGACCTCCAGGCTAGCGAGCCAGCGTCTTACCCACTTAGCCACGTGATCCCCCATATAAATATAGGCTCTAGATAAATAGAGCTGCTGTCAGGACAAAATTTCCCACATAGCACAATCCATTGCATTTGCCGATCTTCATTAGCCCAGTTGGTGCAGAAAAGTAGGACGTTAAACTCTATTTTATTTTGTTTTATTTATTTTCCAACTTCCAATAAATGTGGATATGTGTTGTGTTCTAGTTGTATAAATGGAGGATCCAATGATTCCGAAGGAGATAGTAGTCAGACATCCAGTTTATCTGATGCTGATGTACCAATGATACAGATAGACGAACGTGAACACGGCATAGGTAATTATCTTTATTGTCAGATGATCTGGAACAAGGCATAGGTAATTATCTTTATTCTCAGATAGACAATCGCGAGCATTGCATAGGTAATTATCTTTATTCCAAGATGATCGTGAACATGGCATAGGTAATTATCTTTATTCTCAAATGATCACAAACACGGCATAGGTAATTATCTTTATTCCAAGATGATCGCGAACATGGCATAGGTAATTATCTTTATACCCAGATAGACGATCGCGAGCATGGGATAGGTAATTATCTTTATTCCTAGATGATCGCGAACATGGCATAGGTAATTATCTTTATTCTCACGAACACGCCATGACACAACAGGTAATTTTCTATATTACACATGACAGACCAAAACGATTGCAACATCTAGCGTCTCATTCTGCTAGAGTCAGTGAATATTTAGGGACTATGTTCAATATAACAAGGTCACTTTTGTCCAATGGATGATTATGACTTTTGGGTTTCTTGTATTACTGAATAGAAATCTGAATTATTTCATTATATCAGCTACCTTTACTACCATAGATAATATCGATGATCTTGATTGTAGCTATGTATTGTATATTTATATTATCAGCTACCTTGACTACCGTAGAGAATAATGAACCATAACATCGATGATCTTGATTGTAGCTATGTACTGTATATTTATATTATCAGCTACCTTGACTACTGTAGAGAATAATGAACCGATGTTAGCTTACTGTATTTTATATTAATATTTTCAGCTACCTGTACTACCGTAGAGTATAATGATGATCCGATGTTAGCTACCTGTATTTTATATTAATATTTTCAGCTACCTTTACTACTGTAGAGAATAACGATGATCCCATGCTAGCTATAGATCCTGTATTTTTTATTAATATTTTCAGCTACCTTTACTACCGTAGAGAATAATGATGATCCGATGTTAGCTATAGACCCTGTATTTTCACCTATGATTATACAAGCCCCTATAAAAACAACGCGTCATAGGTTTAATATAGGTCGATATATACAGGCGTTCCTGAATAGATGTATAGCACCGGTTATTACAAGTCAAAAAGGCAAATGGATAATTATAGGTAAATAAATGTATAAATATTTTGTTCTTTTTTTAAATATTAACTTTGTCTATATTTAGAAGCACATGTTATATCTGAAAAAAGGTGGTTGGGTGGCCGAATGGTAGCGTGTGCATTTGTATCATAAGGTCTGTCATTGAGTCAACTGGCGTGGTTTTGATTCCCCGGTCGTACGTGACAAGGAGTAGGGTCGCCTGTCCAATCTCGTGTGTTTTCTCCGGATCCTCTGGTTTCCTCCCACTGTTAAAGACCTCTATGCTCCAGCAAATTATTGAAATAAAATTGAACCATATGTTAGTACCGAAATGACCTAGTTTGTGCCGCGTGGACGTTAAACCCCATTTCTTTCTCTCTCTATATCTGAAAAATCGAGAGCCTGACACGGGAACAGGGTGTAGTAACTCTGAATGAACAGAAACCTGTGGTACTGTGTGCACAGGAGTAGGGTTACGAGGATTGTCAGCTCTTTGTCTAAATTTTACAGAATGCCCCATTAGCGGTCAGTTATGATAATTCCCTTTGAGTGGATTCTTATTACGGATTCTACTGTATGTATATGTTGATAATAATTATGTTTGTTTTTATAACGACAGGTTTCCATGTTTGTACGCTGATAACAGCTATAGGGTTAATAACACAGCTCCATCCAGCTTCACAGCCACCTCAGTTATTCCACCCAGATACCAATATACAACAACTACTAGATTTAAAGGCAAATTTCAGTATTATAGATAATTTACGTTGTGATAAATGTTCAGCCATGTATTCGGTAAGTTAATTACTCATTTGAACAAACTAGAATTCCGTTCTGTTAGTTGGTAAGTTATATGTACATATGTGATACTCAATGAGCGATCCAGAATTGAGTTCAGTTTACAGTGATACTGAATTGAGCATTGTGGTTTACAGTGACACTGAATTGAGCATTCTGGTATTGCATTTTGTTAAAGATACATTATGGGAGATTTTTATAAGGAGTTAGCCATTCTTGCTATAACAGTTCAAAAATAGATGATGAAAGAAGAATATATTGAAAATTTCTGTCAAATTACTTTATTGTGAACATAGTTATCACCAGTGTAATTTTTGACTAGAAATGGGATTGAATTCCATCTTCACCGATTCTTAGTATGGCCGATCGTTTGATTGACTGGCGTTAACTCCACCTACATAATCTCTGCTGTCTTTTGTCAGCTGTCATCATATCCGAATTTGTGTTTTACCTTTTTGGATTTTTATAACAATTGGACAAAATGAGTGAGAGGGTAAATTTTCATTCTTACTTGTATTTTGGGCATGCATTAAATCGATTGAATATAGGACATAATATTATAATACAATTATGATAAATCTATAGGTATTCACCAGTGGTGTCGTGCCTATTGGGGAAAAAAAATATTTTTATTGATATTATTAAGACAGAAGACCTGTCCATCTGTATTATTGCACTTTAAATAGTTTAGATGTCATTTGTTAAGGCATCACTCAACAGCGGCCTCGCTTCGTACACTCTATCATTTAGCCTCGATCCGGGAGTATGACGTCAATGTAACGGTTAATCTCTGCTCACGACGCCATTTAAAATTAAATCAGTCAACGAAATCCCATTTAAATCCAAGCTGAATCCAAGCCATCTGTGGGTCTACAGAGTTGATTTTGTGCTTGTTGTGTAAATAAAGATCTAATTTATAATTTCTCTGACATCTGAAGCCTAAATAAAGACTTGCAATAATCAGATTTAGCTCTTGCATAATGTATGTTTAACAGTCATGTATACAGTAAGTAATACAGGCAACACTGAATTGATTTCTGTTAGCAGCCTACGATACTGAATTGAACATACTGGAATTCAGTTAACAGCTCTTAATTTGATAAGTTACACCTACGCTACTCAAATTGAGCGTTCTGGAATCGAGCATTTGATGTGCAGGCAATACTTTATTGAGTTTACTAGAACTGAGGTCAAGTTCATCAGGTTTCCCCTTGTCAGTGGTGGAGGAAGGAGGGCCTGACAAGGACAGCTGTCTAGTCATTCGGATGGGACAGAAAACAGAGGTCCTGTGTATACATTGGCGTGCACATAAAAGTTCCCTTGACAGGTGGAATTTGATATAAGAGTAGGCGATAGTGCCGCTGCCTGGGCAAAATTTCCCTCACAGTATGGTGTATGCCCGTCTTCATTAGCCCAGTCGAAGCAGAACAGTAGAATGTTAAACCCCATTTCATTTCATTTCAGAATTGAGTTCTCTTAACATTTATGTATTCAGCTGACACTGAATTAATGATGTCATAAATTTTAAAACATATATCTCTTTTTACAGGAAGCTAAATCCCGATCCTCATCAGGAAACAGCAGAACACATGATAGTCACCCAGCTACCCCAAGGCCTTTTCCTCATCCTTATCATCAACCCCAGTTCCAGCCTACTACTACTACTACACCATCTCCTATCACCCATCTTTATCACCACCACCACCAAACATCCCCTCCTACTACTACCACTACTACTACAACTACTACAACTCAACATCCATTCAAAGGTACGTTAACAAGTTAAGGTACGTTAAAGGGCAATATTGGTGCCAGTCATTATCACATATGTGATAGAACTGGTTAAACACATTCCAAATATTATTTTATCACTGAGATCATTGCTACGATAGATGAGTAATCAATGTTTGGCACCAATATTGTCCTTTAACAAGTGAAATTTTACCGGTATATAAAAAGGGACTGGGGTCCCTAATCCCTTATAGTCAAGCTAGAAATGACCGCCTATCGGGTAAGAAAATATGTGATTCACCAAAAGTTTCAGTAACATTTAGTTCAGCCATTTTTTAATATGAAGCTTTTTACTATAGATTCAGTTTTTCAAATATATCCGGGATAATTTTGTCTTGGGCAAGGAAGGAGCCTAAAATCCTTCGAAAGATCAGAAATCATGAAATGGTTTGTCAGAAGATCGGGACTACGATATGTAATTGAATGATCTTAGACTTGCGATTCTATAATTTATAATCTTTAATTATCTTTATTTTTTTAGCGCAGACACGAAAACCTACTACTTATCATCCATTTTATCGTAACCTAGCAACCACCAAACGTCCATCCGACAAGCCTCATCCTGTATCTGGTGGCTTCAATTCCTGTAAGAATAATAAATGTAACGATTTGAAGGAAAGGCCTAGATTACAGTTAGGCACAACAGTGTTTGTCGTATTTGGTATCAAAGGATTACAGCAGACGGGCAAAAGAAGTGGTCATGTTATAAACGAGAAAAAGGTAACTAGACAATTTAGATCATTCTGATTCAATGTGCATGCGTTAACCATTCTGCCATCCCGGAGGGCCTGGCAAGGGACACATGTCTAGTCTATCAGATGGGACGAAAAGCCGAGGTCACATGTACACATTGGTGTGCACGTAAAAGAACCCTAGACAGTTGGAATTAGATATAATAGTAGGCCGTAGTGCCACTGTCTAGGCAAAATTTACCTCGAAGCACACTGTATGATGTATACCCATCTTCATTATCCCAGTCGGAGCAGAACACTAGTACGTTAAAAAAACTCCCTTTCATTTAGTCAGAGATAATTAGACAGTAACTTTTGTAAACATTCGGGTCAAATCAGAAAAGGCTGATTTATTTTAAGGATTGAGGTTACCCCCACTAAAAATTGCTTATAAATCCTGTGAATTTGGTAACGATATCTTACTAGTTACAGAAAGAGATATGAAGTTTCTAAGTTTGTCATACATTTTCCAAAAAGACATGTTACCATGGCACCAACTTTTTTTTATAGCTAGTAATTTTCCCTTATTTATTATAATTCCTAACTACTTATATCATTTTCAACTCAATAGCTTTAAAATTTAAAATACAATTTTTGGTTAGCCGATTGGTCACTGTACAAGATGATCTATTTTCAGGGTACTGTTATGTATAATGAAGATTTACCGAGAGCGTTTACAACGAGAGGTCAAGATATATTAAAAGATTTATGTCGGTTGTGTCATCTAATAAGTAATAATCGTGAACTTGTAAAAAATGGAAGTGCTCAATGTATACCCGCAGGTAAGAAGGCATAACCACTTAAACATACATTATGCAAGAGCTAAATCTGTCTATTGCAGGTCTTTCTTTAGGCCTGAAATGTTATCTAAATTATTAATTAGACATTAATTAACTTATCCAGACCATAATCAACTCTAGATGGCATCGCTAGCCTGCGATCGTAAGTGGATTGTGATCCGATTTACTGCATAACTTCCCTTCTTGATTAAACGATTAAATGGATAATCGAGACTATGCTGTTTAACATACTGACTTTAGTAATGATGACCGAGGCTTGGCAGAAATTTTATTCACTGAGTTCTCGCTTCATAGTGGATCAATTTGAATGAAATTTTCAGCAAATTGCCTTTACATTATCTAGTTGTTAATTATTATAGTGAGAACTGCCAACTTGTTATCGAATCTCCCATAATGTATCTTTAATTTAGCAATAAGATTTAGATAAAGAGCTGGCAGTTCTCACTATAATAGTTAAAATAGATAATGAAAAGGGAATATGTTGAAAATAAGATAAAGAGCTGTAAGTTCTCTGCAAAGTTATCTTCATTAACAGATGCATTATGTGAGATTTAGATAAAGAGCTGATAATAGTTAAAAAAAATGGATAATGAAAAGGGAATATGTTGAAAATTTCAGTTAAATCCCTTCAATCTGAGCGGAGTTATCATCGTTTGCAGAACAGAGTAGCATCGATTGTCATTGTTACCGTTGTTATGATAATAAACAAAGTCTTGATTATACATTTTTAAATTAAATCATTAACTGCCAATCGTATTTAAATCTGCTGAAAATCAGAACCATCCGATGTTCTGGAGAGTTGATTATCGACTTGGCATAATGAATTAATGATTTATATAGCATTTGAGGCCAAACAAAAGATCTGCATTAGGCAGATTTAGTTCTTGAATAATGCATCTTTAAATACAGGCCTGTAAATGATAGTTGCAGTTGGGACAGTGAGTAAGACATTGGTTTGCTAACCTGGAAGTCCTGTGTTCATTCTCTGTGTTGGTTGCGAACGTGTCATCAAGATTTTCCGGGGTGCTTCTCCCTTACCAGTGGTGTAGGGGGCCTGGCAAGAGACAATGTGTAGTTGTTGAGATGGAACACATTTGTGTGCATGTTAAAGATCCCTTGACAGTTAGAATTTGATATAAGCATAGGTTGTAGTGCCGCTGTCCGGGAAAAAATTTCCGTAAAAGATCCCTTGGCAGTTGGAATTCGATATAAGGGTAGTGTGCCACTGCCCAGGCAAAATTTCCCTCATAGCACACTGTATGTTGTACGCCCGTCTTCATTAGCTCACTTGGAACAGAACAGTAGGACGTTAAACCCCATTTGATTTCATTTCATTGTACCTGACAAATGTCAAACACGAACGAACTAGTACCTGATATTTTGATTTTTGTGCCAGACATGTTTTAATAACATCTGTAAAAAACAAAACAAATTTTTTTTTTTTTAAATATTGTTAAATGATTTGTTTTCGTTTTGTAGGCCTTCCTAGTTCTTTACGTCAGTCTATAGAAGCAATAAAAGAATGTCGAGATTTACCACATAGAGCGATTGTATATAATCATCAACTACCAGATCACGCTGTTGGTGGTTTAACCAAATATTATAAACTTAAATGGTTGGCTTTTGCTTTTGAATCTGTAAGTTTTCATAAATTGTATATCTAGTCAGAAATTGGACTTATGTTAGATTTTATTTCACAAAATGAAACCAGCACTGACATTTCTCCTTAGCTATTACGTCCTGTTTGCCTCAGTTTCGGGCTAACGCTTTTGACTGGTAGCCCTTGTATGTTAACATTAATTTTATCGAGATATGCTAATTGTAGGTCGGTTGGGGAGGTTGGGGGGGGGGGGATGGTTTGTTATTGAGTCAAGTGGTTTGAGTAAAATTGAACCATGTTAGTCCTAAAATGACCTAGTTTGTGTCAAGTTGAGGTTAGCCATGGTGGCTAAGTCGAGAAGATGCTAACTCGCTAGCCTGGAGGTTGCATGGCCGGGAAAGTTCATCAGGATTTTCTGACGTGATTTCCCCTTGTCAGTGGTGCAGGACGGAGGGCCTGACAAGGACAGCTGTCTAGGCTTTTGGATCTTACGAAAAACCAAGGTTCCATGTATACATTGGTGTGCACGTACAAGATCCCTTGGCAGTTGGAATTCGATATAAAAGTTGGCCATAGTGCCACTGCCCGGGCAAAATTTCCCGCTTAGCACACTGTATGGCGTATGCCCGTCTAAATTAGCCCAGTTCGGAGCAAAACAGCAGGACATTAAACCCCATTTCATTTCATTTCATTTCTGTCATTGAGTCAACTGGCATGGTTTCGATTCCCAACTTGACCATGACAAAGGAGTAGGGTCACCTGTCTAATCAATCAATAAAAATCTTTTTGTTTCAGACGACGTCAGAAGGTGATGCGTATTTTAAAGCGTACGAGAAATATCAAGCATGGGATAAATTTATCACGCATATTAAAGATCATGAACTATCAAAAAATTCACCATTGAAAGACATATTCCAGACATCGTCATTCTGGAAAAAGGTAAAAAAAATTATTTTGCATTTTAATTTACTTAATTTTTAAAGTTTCATCTACATAATAGTACAGCTGGATAGACTTAAATGCCCTGCCTGTATAACAGGGTAGACTTGAATGCCCTACTGGTATAACTGGGTAGATTAGAATGCCCTAGTGGTACAGCTGGGTATACTTGAATGCCCTACTAGTATAACTGGGTAGACTTGAATACCCTCCTAGTGCAACTGGGTAGACTAGAATGCCCAACTGGTATAACTGGGTAGACTGGAATGCCCTACTGGTATAACTGGGTAGACTTCTGCTACAGCTTGGTAGACTGGAATGCCCTACTGGTACAACTGAGTAGACTTGAATGCCCTACTGGTACAGCTGAGTAGACTTGAATGCCCTACTGGTACAGGTGGGTAGACTGGAATGCTCTACTGTTATAACAAGGTAGACTGGAATGCCCTATGGTACTGCTGGATAGACTCGAATATCCTACTAGTACAGCTTGGTAGACTGGAATGCTCTACTGGTACAACTGAATAGACTTGAATATAGTACTGGTTTCGCTTTGGAGTACATGTACATGAACCATTGGCTGTTGGAATGTGACACATAGCATTGTATATAGTGCTATATGGATGTATTTTGTATATTTGTAGGTTTTAATGGAAGTAGTTGCTGTATATAGTGCTATATATGGTTTAGTATTATCACTAGTTATATGTATTATAGCCGTTGCTATATTTACAGGACATATATTTCTACTATTAATAGTTGTTATTACTATTGTTTGTAAGTATCCTTTAACATTTCTAGTCTTCCAGAATGAGAGAGACAGACAGACAGACGGAGAGTTTAAGTCCACTCGATACAAACTAGGTCATTTTGGAACTAACATACATGTACGCTTCAATTTTATTTCAATAATTGCACATAGGGGTCATTAGCAGTAGGAGGAAACCGGAGGAACTGGAGAAACCCACGAGGTTGGACAGGTGACCCTACGCCTTGTCACGTACAACCAGGGAATCAAAACCACTCCAGTTGATTCAATGACAGACCTTAGGGTCGTCTAGCCAACCCCATAGGTTTACTCCGGTTTCCTCACACTATTGAAATAAAATTGAACCATGTGTTTATCCCAAAAGACCTAGTTTGTGTTAAGTGGATGTTAAACCCCTCTCTCTCTCTCTCTCTCTCTCTCTCTCTCTCTCTCACAAGCAGTTTAGATATCAATAAAAGAATAATGTTTAAAATATCATCCTGAGCCCTGTATTAACAAATTTAGAATACCATACTTACCTTTTTATGTAAATTTTAGAAATAATAATAGTTCAACCCCTTGTGCAGGTTTTACAACATACATAAATTGTTCTTGATTGTTGATATTTGATGCATAGTTTCAATCTTTCCAATAGTTTCACAGCTGTAATGTGAAAGCCTTTCTTTAGCTCTGTAGATGATGACTGACCTTTAAGTTTATGTGCTGTATAGGTTCAAGTTTTTCTGAAGAAAATTGTTAACGTATACACATTTAAAAAAGTAGTGTACACTCAGAATGGGTAACATTTTTTTTGGCTCACTCTGTATATTATAATTTGAAATTTCTCAATTTATTTTTATAAGAAAACACAGTAACATGGTTCAAGTCTGCCTCAAATTTCATTTAAACGCACTATACTATGCCTTAAATCACTCTCGATGCGATTTCCAGCAATGTACTACAGTAAACTTTGCATAAGTCGGATTCGTATAAGTGCCTTTGAATCAATTATTATCCGGCGAGCGAGCTAAGATTGAATTTCGATCTTTGGCTAACTTGGATCTTCACTTAACTCAGATAAAATTGGTCAGTCCACTTTGATACGACTTATGCAAAGTTTAGTGTAGTTACTACTTAATAATTTGGGATCAGAACCTCTCAAAATTTTCTAGATACCCCCCTGCATTGTAACACAAATTTTTCCGGGCAGAATGGTGCCTTTTACGACTTTGCATATGTACCCATTTTCAATGAATAGAAAATATTTTTTATCCATATATACTTCCATCACCTTGGGTTTTTTTCTTAATAATTTAAAAAATTGTTTTAGAATTAATAAGAAAAAAATATTGAGAGTTAATGAAATCACCCTATTGACATCCCTTTGATTAATAGTACACAGGCGGGCAAGCGATTATTTACTACTGATCAATTTAAAATAGTATGGGTGGAAAAAGCACACTAAAGGGGAGTAACTCTTGCTTGAACCTGATATCAGCCACATAAAGTTTCTTTCACTGAACAGTTATTCAAGATGAATATGTTGATTTTCTACGCTTTCATCCTTTTTGATCAATTAAATTATTATATCGCTGGCTAATTGTTTTTATATTTGTTTCAATTAAAATATTACAAAATTATTAGCGAGAAAGCACACTAATGGGAGGCAACTCTGCCTAAAATAAAATTTACTTTAAATCCATAAATCCATGAAATTTCTTGTTGAACATTCTGATGATCTTAAACTTAATAACAATAAAGAGTCCATCAAATAATAATATTGACAGGGGTTAATCGTTTGGATGTTTTTCAATCCTATCATAGGTGTTTTCCCTAATTCATGTCTGTTTACCTCCTTATCCTTCCACTTTAAAACAAAATCCTGGATGAACATGTAAATTAAACACTATCAGTCTGATTAAAACACAGATCCTATTTCGTTTCATTTTTTATAGTTCAAAATTTCGTTTTACTTGTCTTTACTACACTACGATCTGGATGAGTTGTTATATAAACCGCGTTCTTGTTGATGTAAGGGATTAGCCAATAAAACGGTCTGTTATGACAAGTTCTTGGCGTGGGGTGCACGAAACTGTGGGTATCCCACTAGAAACATCAACGCTGATTGGTTAATCTCAACTGTCTGACAGTGACGTCACAGGGTCACAACAACCGGTCAGATCTTCATGTAGTAGAGGTCATCGAAAGTATAAAAAAAAAACGAAACGAAATATAGATCTGTATTTTGATAAGATTGAAACACTATTAAAGGCTCAATACCACTCTTGTTGTAACTGAATAATATGTCCTAATCTTTATTCTGGTCAACAAATTGTACTATTTTACAATATTCCAATTAATTGATGATACAAATTTCATCTTAACACACCTAATTTAAAAAATTGGAAAAATTCAACTAAATGATTTGAAAAGCCTGACGTAAAGCTTTTCAAATGTGACTTGGATTTAAAAATATTTTTGAACCCCTTAGACAAGTAAAATAGGATTTAATGGATAATTTACACAACAGGTAAGACACTAACACATCTAGTACTTAGAATAAGGCTATTTTTTATTTTCTGGAGCTGTCAAGCCAGCAAGAGTGTTATTGTCCCTTTAAATGATATATTATTGTGATTTCAAGGCCAGATATCTATTATATTAAATGATGTTTTTACAGGTATGATATTTATTTAAATGATATATTATTGATGTTTTACAGGTAGGGTTAGGGTATTTTGCCTATAATGTTTTTTAGGACTTCGAATTCTGTCTTATGGTTTGGATTGTTCGTACTTGGTTTTATTTTATTAAATGATTTATTAATGTTTTACAGGTATGATATGTAGCGTAGTTGGTATATTTTATTAAATGATTTATTAATGTTTTACAGGTATGATATGTAGCGTAGTTGGTATATTTTATTAAATGATTTATTAATGTTTTACAGGTATGATATGTAGCGTAGTTGGTATATTTTATTAAATGATTTATTAATGTTTTACAGGTATGATATGTAGCGTAGTTGGTATATTTTATTAAATGATTTATTGATGTTTTACAGGTATGATATGTAGCGTAGTTGGTATATTTTATTAAATGATTTATTGATGTTTTACAGGTATGATATGTAGCGTAGTTGGTATATTTTATTAAATGATTTATTAATGTTTTACAGGTATGATATGTAGCGTAGTTGGTATATTTTATTTAGCTGGATGGGAGATGGGAGCAATAGAGGCCATCTCTCTATCAATATTAGTAGGATCTTCAGTAGATTATTGTGTTCATCTTGTCGAGGGATATATATTAGCAGGAAAATATATCAATTTAAATGGAGGCCTGGTGAGTAGGAATTTTTAACAGGGTTATTCTGTAGGGTTTGGGTGGACGAGTGGTCTAATGCATGCACTTTAGATCATAAGGTCTGTCATTAAATCAGGATCACAGTGGCTAAGTGGGTAAGATGCTGGCTCGTTTGCCTGGAGGTCGGGTGTTCGATCCCTGCATTAGCCGAGAAAGTTCATCCAGATTTTCCAGCGTGGGTCCCCCTTGTCAGTGATGCCGGACGGATGAGACGAAAAACCGAGGTCCCGTGTACACATTGGCGTGCACGTAAAAGATCCCTTGACAGTTAGAATTCGATATAAGAGTAGGCCATAGTGCCGCTGTCCGAGCAAAATTTCCCTAATAGCACACTGTATGACGTATGCCCGTCTTCATTAGCCCAGTTTAGGAGCAGAACAGTTGGACGTTAAACCCCATTTCATTTCATTTTCATTTTCTGTGGGAGGAAACCGGAGGACCCGGAGGTTGGACAGGCAACCCTATTCCTTGTCACGTACAACCGGGGATTCGAAACCCCGCCAGTTGGCTCAATGACAGGCTTTATGATACAGCACGCACATGCTAACCATTCGGCCATCCAACCCCCCGTAAATAAAATGAAAAGGGGATTATTGTTGTGGGCTTGATCCTGGTGTAGGCCTCGAAAGTTCCACAGGTTTTTTCCGTCATTGTTCCCCCTTGTTAGTGGTTCAGGAGAGCTGGTCACTTGGATGGCATAGAAAACTGAGGTCCCGTGTAAATTGTACCATATGCCTAAAGAAAGACATGCAATACGCAGATTTACCTCTTGCAACAATGTAGGTTTAAACCTGAAAAATATTTTTTTTTTTTTTCAGAAAAATACTGAACTACGTCGACAGAGAACTAAAGAAGCCTTACAGCATATTGGGGTTGCCATAATAAGCAGTGCCATTACAACAATAATCGCAGCTATACCATTAACTCAAACCTTGATTCAACCATTCAGTAAATTTGGAGACATTCTCCTGATTAATACTACTGTATCTATATTATTCACCATAACATTATGTGCTACATTGCTAAGTGCTATAGCTCCCGCTAAATTCCAGGCCAGTTTCAAATCTACGGTCAAGGCCTTAATTCTTACATGCTTGTCCGTGGGGGTTATTCTCGTTACACTTTTTGGAATCTCAAAAACCATTCATCCTATTCCAGGACCCAATGGAAACCCTTTATTTCCGTAAAACGAAGAAAAAGGAGAATTAAATGTATATGAAGTTTGTTTGCTTATATATTATTTGGAATCTTGGTTGGTACTCTCTGTCTATTTGTAATGTGATTGACTGCATACAGAGCTTTCTACTTTCATACTTAAACATTTCATTTTTATCAAGTTTTTTGATAACAGATAATTTTTTATATCGACCAACAAACGCTATTTAAATAAGAATGATAAGATAAAGTTGAACGACAATCTGGTTAAAATACAGATTCTATTTCGTTTCGTTTTTTTCTAGTTCAAAATGTCGTTTTACTTGTCTATACTACACTAGGATCTGGAAGAGTTGTTATATAACCTGCGTTCTGGATGGTGTGAGGGATTAGCCAGCGACTTCATGGCGTGCGATGCACGGAACTATGGGTAATCCCCTAGAAACGTCAACGCTGATTGATTAATCATTGTCTGACCTTTTACTACAACCGGTCCGATCTTGATGTAGTGTAGGCCATCGAAAGTATAAAAAAAAACAAAAGGAAATATAGATCCGTATTTAAATCGGATTGGTTGAACAACTAAATTTTAACCACAGGTTAATTAACGACTGGTTAAATATATAACCCTTGGTTTTAAAATATAAATAACCACATGTTTAAATTTATCGACAAGTCAATTCTGAATCTCATTAACTTCACATGTTCGTTCATATTAAGGCATATAATGTCCATCATTTTAATTATAGAGGGCTGTGCCGTGCCGAGAGGGGTGTGGACGGGGGGCATCCAATCAAAGAGTTATATTAAATTTAAGTATTTTAAATTTGAAATTTTCTGAATGTTGATAAATCATACCACCTGTCAGCCATTGTTACTAGGGATACAACCATTAAGGCATTTAGGTCAACTGGTGTGGTTTCGATTCCCTGGTTGTATGTGACAAGGAGTAGGGTCGCCTGTCCAACCTAGTGGGTTTTCTCCGGGTCCTCTGGGTTTCTCTCACTGCTAAAGACCCCTACGCACAAGCAAATTATTGAAATAAAATTGAACCATATGTGGACATTAAACCCCATTTTTCTCTATCTCTCTCTCTCTCTCCATGAACCTGTTAAGTGCGTAGGTCGTTATATAACGTCCTGGACAACTGCCACTCACTGTGTGTAGGGTGTAATATAACGCCTTGGCAGAATTTTCCCCAACCTATTCTTAGAACATAGTACATAGTTCTTCGTCACTTCGTCAAATTAATTACACAATAGGGGGTAGTTAACGTTTTAAAAACATCACGCTTAACAGGTTAAGGCATTTAATGTTGCTGATGCCCCTCTACCACCACCACTTTCATATCCAATAATGAGAGATAAATCCATGTCATACATGTCAAACAATGTTACTAGGGGGGTATAACCATTAAGACATGTAATGTCCTTCAATATAAATATGTGTATTTTGGTGAATTATCATTATAGCCTAGCCCCTACTCATTATAGCCTAGCCCCTACTCATTATAGCCTAGCCCCTACTCATTATAGCCTGGCCCCTACTCATTTCTTGGTCAAACTATCATGAAATAAGAGTTTAATCTTGATATCAACACCCTAAAACAACCAAAAATATCAACTCAAATCTTTAATCTTTATATCAACACCCTAAAACAACCAAAAACTCAACCCTTGAATCTTGATACCAACACCCTAAACAACCAAAAATATCAACTCAAATCTTTAATCTTTATATGAACACCCTAAACAACCAAAAATATCAACTCAACCCTTGAATCTTGATATCAACACCCTAAAACAACCAAAAATATCAACTCAACCCTTTCATCTTTAAATGAACCCCCTAAACAACCAGGAATAAAATGGGTATGCATAAATACAACTCAACCCTTTGTGTACTCGCAGATGTTCAATGTATATAATATCGATCAATTTTTTCTATATTGTGGCTTTGTATCAAATGACTATTGCCATGTTTTTTTGTGGAATTTATTTTATCAAATGGATTTATTTTTTACTAAGATTGTGATATATCGCTTTTAGAAGTATTTATTTACTAGATGCATTCATTTTTGCTGATCTGCTTTCTTTTAAATTTTGGCCATACAAAAAAAATTATTCTGGTTCTCAGACTATCCTTCCCCCCCAAAACCTGAAGGGAAATCTGTCTAGTCATTTGGATGGAACAAAAAAACAATGTCCCATGTACACATTGGCAGTTGGAATTTGATTTAAAAGTAGGCCACAGTGTCGCTGTATGCCCGTCTTCATTAGCCCAGTCAGAGCAGAACAGTAGGACGTTAAACTCAATTTCATTTCATTTCATTTCTCTTCATGCTGGTTATTAGGAATGTATGAAATAAAAAGAGGTCATGTGACCTTTTTAAAGGGGCATTATGTCAGATTAGATAAAGAGTTGACAGTTCTCACTGTAATAGTTACAAAATAGATAACGCAAATAGAATATGCTGAAAATTTCAGTCAAATTGCTCCACTCTGAACCGAGATATTAGCTTTTGAATTTTAGGCTGACCTCAATTATCCATTTTTACCTTTAATTATTTTTCAAAAAAAGAATTCCAAAAGTGACATCGGAGTATCTTAGAACCAGAATAGTTATTTTTGTGCAATAGTTCTATGAGTATTTATCAATCATTGTGTTCATGTTGGTTATATTTCTATACAAATTTTACATTATGTGATATTTCACTTTTATTTATTTATTATCAGCTTTTTATTTTTTTTCTTAACTAGATATTAATTGTTAACAAGTGACCATAATAACCTTATGTGATTCAAGTTTATTTTTAGATTAAGTTAAATGTTAAAATCATAATCTTTTATATAAACCACTACTCTTCAATCTTAACACAATATGATACTGGGTACAATGTGTCTGTCCAACCTCGTGGGTTTTCTCCGGGTCCTCTGTTCTCCTCCCACTGCTAAAGATCCCTACGCGCAAGCAAATTATTGAAATAAAATTAAACCATATGTTAGTCCCGAAATGACCTAGTTTGTGTCAAATGGATGTTAAACCACCTCTCTCTCTCAATGTGTGTGCTTTAGATCATTAGGTCTGTATGTGACAAGGAGTAGGATCACCTGTCCAATCTTGTGGGTTTTCTCCAGGTCCTTGGGAGGTTGGATGGCCGAATGGTTAATGCGTAGGCGTTGAATCATAAGATCTGTCATTGAGCCAACTGGTGTGGTTTCGATTAGGGTTGCCTGTCCAACCTCGTGGGTTTTCCCCGGGTCCACCGGTTTCCTCCCACTGCTAAAGACCGCTACATGCAAACGAATGATTTAAATAAAATTGAACCATATGTTAGTCCCAAAATGACCTAGTTTGTGTCCAGTGGAGTTAAACTCACTCTCTCACTCTCACTCTCTCTCTCTCCTTTTGAGGGATTAAAAGAGAATTCAATAGCTGAATGTTCAGTGGAGTATCCAGTATGGGTTACCAATATGGACGTAGAGTAGATGTCAGTGTTTTGAGATCATCCTTTTATCGTAAAACAAGATGTGATTTATATTTGCATAATAGATTTATTTCTTCCTACTATATGGAGTTTGATTCTGTTTGAATATTCACCAAGTAAAGCAAATTGTTTCAATGGTGTTTAGTAATTCAACTGGGATACACAGGTTACAATTCTATGGAATACAATTACTGCTAATTACTGAGCGACGTTTCAATTTGAGCTCTAGTCTTTATTCTAGGCTTCTCTAGTCTTTGTCGAACAATAAAGACTAGAGAAGCCTAGTCGCAGCGATGCTCAGTAATACACAGTAATTTCTATTCAATAGTGACCTGTGTATGTTTAAAGATACATTATGGGAGATTAGATAAAGAGCTTGCAGTGCTCACTATAATAGTTAAACACTAGATAATGTAAAGGGAATTGACTGAAAATTTCAGTCAAATTGATGCACTCTTAACCAAGATTTTAGCGATTGAATTTTCGGCCGAGCCTCAATCACTGTTACTAAAGTCGGTACGATAAAAAACATAGTCTCGGTTATCCATTTCATGATTAAATCAAGAATGAAAGTGGAGCAGCGACTACTATCCTAATCCAGTAAACATCCCAGACTAGCGTTGGCATCGAGAGTTGAGTATGGTCTGGATAAGTTAATTAATGTCTAATTAATAATTTAGGTAACATTTCAGGCGTAAAGAAAGACCTGCAATAGACAGATTTAGCTCTTGCATAATGTATGTTTAAGTATAACAACAGCTAAAACTATCTTAACCAAGCTTGTTTTTTTAGGGGGGGGTTGGATGGCCGAATGGTTAGCACGGGCGTGCTGTATCATACGGCCTGTCATTGAGTCAACTGCCATGGTTTTGAATCCCCGGTTGTACGTGACAAGGAGTAGGGTCGCCTGTCTAACCTCGTCTGTTTGCTCCTGGTCCTCCGGTTTCCTCCCACTGCTAAAGACCCCTACACGCAAGCGAATTATTGAAATAAAATTAAACCATATGTTAGTCCCGAAATGACCTAGTTTGTGTCGAGTGGACGTTAAACCCCATTTCTCTCACTCTCTTTTTGTTTTTTTAGTAGGCCTAATAGAAAAGTTTACCTTGAAATAACTCAAACTTTGTCAATATTCACCCAGCTGTTTTCTACTTCAGAACTTTGCTGGACATCGTCTTTAACCAAAGAGTTAACACTCTTTTTAAATTATTAACCCTTTGAGTCCTCGAATGTTTCGCAGCGTATACACCATGACAGTTGTTGTTGTCTAAACATCCGACATCTGGATGCACACAAGCCAAGAGAACCGTCCACTCGTTGCTTTCTAGGTTGATCTCAATTTTCTACCTTGTCGAGGTGTTGTTTGGACGTCCGACGTCTGGTCGTTAACAAACGATTGTCGTTTTCAATGTCAACACTACAAGGCCACGGCTGAAAATCTGACCAGTCAGGTAGGCCTACCTTGAAAGGGTTAACAAACTTAACACTGCTAGTTTTATTGACTGAGATTTGACAAAAGTTCAAGTTATCCTTGTTTTGCCCCGCCCAGAGGATTGTTGCCTCAACAAATCTGACTAGTCAGCTGACCAGTCAGGTACCTTGAAAGGGTTAACACTGCTAGTTTTACTGACTGAGATTTGACAAAAGTTCAAATTGTCCTTGTTTTGCCCCGCCCGGAGGATTGTTGTCTCAACAACTCTTTATTGTAAATATGATGTACATGTATTTAAAGAAGGTTTTATTATATCCTGCTCAATTAATCTATAGGTCTAACATTTTACTAATCTATTTCAATAGTCAAATTATTTTTACAACCATCTCTACTTTCATTTTGTCACAAACTTCTACTTTCATTTTGTCACAAGTCTCCACTTTTACTTTGTCATAAACAGGACTGGTTGTAGAAAATGTGGGGCCCAATTTGGCAGGCCCGAAGTTACAGGATATGAATACATTACAGCCCTGCTGTCAGATATTTTTAAGTTGGTGAGCTGTGGGGCCCCTTTGTAGTGGGGGGCCCAATTTGGGGAAATTGATCCAATGTGCCAAAAACCGTCCCCATCATAAGTTTCTACTTTTATTCTATCATAATGTCTCTACTTTTATTTTGTCATAAGTCTCTACTTTTATTTTGTCATAAGTCTCTACTTTTATTTTGTCATAAACCTCTACTTTTATTTTGTAATATGTTTTGTCATAAATCATTACTTTTATTTTTATCACAAGTCCCAATGTTTATTTTTATTTACTAACATTTTGTGGTCTTAAATCTTTTAAACTTTCTTGTATCAAAACCAAATATTTTTTTAAATTATGAATGTAAAAAAAAAATATGTTGTGGCAAATCATATGATGAGGTTTTAATGAATGTCTAAATGGCAATTTATGAGACCATATGTTGCAGTATTTGTACGAGCATTCGATGTTTTCAACTTTTATCGCTTTAATTTATTTTTAATATCCAGAATTGATATTTGATTGGTCTTTGAATATCTTAGCATAAAGTCTTAGATATGCTGTACATAAAAGGTGAGAATAAAAATGGTGTTTAAATCGGTCTGACATGACTCCGTCTTAATTTGATAGGGTTTAATATGAAATATTTTTTTTCTGTGATACAGTAATATTTTAGCATTGTTTTATGTATGATGTATTATTTATTAGCAGCTTTGTGTACACGTGTCTGTCATTATTAATATATACCAGTGCTATATTGTAAATTGTAATACATAATAAAACTTGTAATACATAATAAAACTTGTATTCATACATTGTTTGTTATCTTTATATCTTTAGAATATCTAATAAATGTGAGTGACAGGGGGCCTAGTGGTTAACGCGTGCACGTTGCATCATAAGGTCTGTGATTGATTGAGTCAAGTGGCGTGGTTTCGATTTCCCGGTTGTACGTGACAAGGAGTAGGGTCGCCTGTCCAACCTCGTGGGTTTCCTCCCGGTCCTCCGGTTTCTTCCCACTGCTAAAGACCCCCAACGTGCAACGAATTAATGAAATAAAATTGAAACATGTTAGTCCCGAAATGACCTAGTTTGTGTCGGGTTTGTGCCTCGTCCCCCCCAGAAAAATGCATCGATAAAATTTCAAAAATGTTATTTTCAGCCCGGGAAATGTAGCCTAGATTTCCGAACATGCCCAGAAATGGTCTCAGATAGCATTTTGAGGCATCCTAATTTTAAAAAATCTTCCGGGGGAGGCACCAAGACCCCCGCTAAATGCGCACCTGTAGCGCACGTGGCGTATGCCTTCGCCCGCTGTACTCCGTCAGCGTCTCCCAAAACTTGAGTCCTATTTTCAGGCTGAGGATATTTCCCCTTGGTTCAAACTGCCCGGTCTTTGATGTAACCCAGATCTGAGAATGATCTCTTCATGACCTCAGCAGCTTATGCTCAGAGCTGGCCACTTGAGAAATTATTCATCACATTTTCATCCGTGACCGGCAATTTAGTAACCTCCCTATATTGCGAGGACTTCTTTGATTAATCAGTCCATATCATCTGTGGTTTACTGTTTATATGTTTAAAGTTTAATAATAAATATTTTTAACTTTTGTAATATAACCAGTCCGCCTGCACTCTAAGCCCTCATAACTACTTTTTACCGTATTCGTATTAGAAATGTCCAAAATATTTATATTCCTCATCCCTTATTTGTGTAGTTATTTGATTATTCTCGCTCAAAAACGACAATTTATTCTCGGTACACGTTCATCTCTGCAGAATGCTCAGAAATTGTCTCTGATAGCGTTTTCAGGCATCCTGCTTTCAAAATTTTCAGGGGGAGGACCCCCAGACCCCCCACAGAACAGTTCGCGCTTGCGGCGCCAAAAACAAAGTTTGAAAAGGAACAAAGAGCATTACTTTAACGAAAAGTGCATTTTGGATATTCTGTATTTGGTGTCTCAAAAACCAAAATATGATGCCAGAAACCTTTAATAATTACTAGGATTCGTCTTGCCCTTCAGAGTGTTCTTGTCAATAACTTTTTGAGGGTTCTTGAATATCTCAAAACCACGAACAGATGTAGGAGGTCGTATCGTGTCTGCGACTGAAAACATACTAAAAGAGAAAAACGAAAATATAAAAAAAAGGATCAACCGAAAACATAAAACAAGGGAAACCCGATTTCAACTGCCAAGGGAGCTTTTAGGTGCATGCCAAACGCTTAAACGGGACCCCGAGGTTTTCGTCCCATCCGAACAACTAGACACTTGTCTTTGCCAGGCAATTGATAACTTGGTGTTTTGTATCAGATGATTTGACGAAGATCTGGAACTAGTGGAAGTTGATGATGATTTTTTTAGATTTGTAGGAGCAAAAGATCAAAGAGATTTACTGTTATAGGTTTATAACTTAACAGAAGTAAGAGAGTGGGGATATTACACTGTAAAGTGCAACTGCTGCAGTAACAAACCGTAGATCTAGAAGATATGCAATGCTATTAAATTAGATACGCTTGAGAAATGTCAAAATACATTCTTTAACGCTCGCTAGACCATTCTCAAAAAAAATTAAAATAGGGAAACGAAATGTCAAAATATGTTACATAATGCACTCGAAATGTCAAAACACGTTGGATAACGCTCTCGATATGTCAAGGTATGTTAGATAACGTGCGTTAAAGTCATAATACGTAAAATGAGGCTCGCGAAATGTCAAAATACGTTAGATAAATGTCAAAATACGTTAGATAAATAATGTCAAAATACGTTAGATAAATGTCAAAATACGTTAGATAAATGTCAAAATACGTTATAGATAAATGTCAAAATACGTTAGATAAATAATGTCAAAATACGTTAGATAAATAATGTCAAAATACGTTAGATAAATATCAAAATACGTTAGATAAATAATGTCAAAATACGTTAGATAAATGTCAAAATACGTTATAGATAAATTTCAAAATACGTTATAGATAAATGTCAAAATACGTTATAGATAAATGTCAAAATACGTTAGATAAATGTCAAAATACGTTTAGATAAATGTCAAAATACGTTAGATAAATGTCAAAATACGTTAGATAAATATCAAAATACGTTTAGATAAATGTCAAAATACGTTTAGATAGATAGATAAATGTCAAAATACGTTAGATAAATGTCAAAATACGTTAGATAAATGTCAAAATACGTTTAGATAAATGTCAAAATACGTTAGATAAATGTCAAAATACGTTTAGATAAATGTCAAAATACGTTATAGATAAATGTCAAAATACGTTAGATAAATGTAAGAATACGTTAGATAACCCTCGCGAAATGTCAAAATACGTTAATTAGATAACGCCCACCAAAGTCTAAAAAGAATCGCGCCACAGGGAATCAGTATTTAACACCATGTAAAATATATGCATGGTTCTACATGTAAATAAATCCTAATTTCTAGAATTTGTATGGCTCTTAAGGTAACTAAATTGGAGCTAAGTGTATGTAAATAGGGGAGACTCCCTTTCCCTCCCGCCGGATCCCTAATGGCCCCATATACCAAATACTAAAACACAATTAAAGCCCCCCCCCCCGCCACCCCGGATATACGGGAATAACGTCTTTCTTTACCTGTATACAAGACCTTTTGGGACTAATATATAGTTATTTTTTATGGTCATTTGAGTAGTGTTGGTCGGGTGTTCGATCCCTGCATTGGCCGAGAAAGTTCATCCCGATTTTCCGACGTGGTTTCCCCTTGTCAGTGATGTGGGCGGAGGTCCCGTGTAAACATTGGAATGCACGTAAAAGATCCCTTGGCAGTTGGAATACGATATAAGAGTATGCGATAGTGCCGCTGCCCGGGCAAAATTTTCCTCATAGCACACTGTATGGCGTATGCCCGTCTTCATTAGCCCAGTTTAGGAGCAGAACAGTAGGACGTTAAACCCCATTTCATTTCATTTGTGTAGTGTTACAGAAGAGAACTATTTTTCCAGGTCAACAACGTTCCAGCAAAGATTCTTTGTGTACACTTCAACGTATAGTCTACACCGGCGGGCCAATGTTTTTGTCCCCTTCGAACCGCTAGGCACATTTTACTAATGCGCACCGCAGACACTCCCCCTGACAAGTGGAACCCGGACATAAATGGGATGTGTTCAATTAGCTGATCCTGTAGTATTCCGGTATAACTTCCACTTGTCAGTATACGTTATTGTACCAAAACATCCATTGAGGACATACAATACAAACCTAAACTATCTATCAATGTACTCTGACTTTATATGACAAAGTTTCTATTTTATAAAATAGAAAATTAAGCACTTTGTCATATTTATGCCCGTCCATATTATTTTGTGTACCTGTCTATATTTTATGCACTTGTATTCAATACTTTGTAAATGGGGTTTAACGTCCTATGGTTCTGTTCCGACTGGGCTAATGAAGATGGGCATACACCATACAGTACGTGCTATGAGGTAAATTTTGCCTTTTCTTATATCGAACTCCAACTGCCCGGACAGCGGCACCCCGGCCTACTCTTATATCAAATTTCAACTTTTACGCGCACGCCAATGTATACACGGGATCCCGGTTTTTCGTCCCATCCGAAGGACTAGATAGCTGCCCTTGTCAGGGCCTTCGTCCTGCACTACTGACATGTGGCTAATATTTTGTAGGCTATATTGTGTGCTGTCATCAAAGGGCATTTCAATGCAATAAAATTCTATCTATCTATCTAATGCATGAGGGATAAACGGGGCCCTTACAAGGGAAAAAATGTGCTGGGGCGAGACTTTTTTGCCCCCCCCCCACCTTTCCAATACTAGCCATATCTAGTAGATGATTCACTAGCAGATTGGATAAAGCGAAAACTTTTGTACATTCGTATATAAGCTTCAAAGAAACAATAAAAAAATTCATGCATAATTGCCCATTTAAATTTTGAACTTTGATATTCATAGACGCCCATAGTTAAGGGCCCCCTGGGGCAGCGCACCTGCTGCACCTCCTCTTGTGAGGCCTGGGGATGAACGTGGGATGTATATTGTACCATTTTATGATGAGGTTAGTGGAACTTTAGTAGAATGGTCAAACATGCCTGTAGTCATTTCACCATAATACTTGACATTTCTGCAGACTGACAGCTCCGGGATATTGTTGTAATCTTCAGGCGCGGGAAAACGGAAGAGGGCGCTTTAACTGTGGCTACTACAGTCAAATCTCTATGGAATACACCGGTATGATTGTGCATCAAATGGTTGCTGAAAACGACGGTGATTATATGAACTAGACTAATGTCAATCTGTTATAAGTCAATCAGTCATACAATACCGTCAAACACGCGGCCTTTTCAGGTTCCGGACACAACTTGGTCAGTGTTGAAGGCATTTTTGATTAATTCACGCATGTATAGGGTCGTCATCGATTTTTTGCTGTGTGACTCGAGCAGTGCCTCCGAATCGAAGAAGTTGATGAGCTTATATATATGCCAACATCAGCTAGAAATTTGGAAGACAGGGAAGAAGCAGGCGGTCACGACGTTAGTATATTATTCTTATATATTCCAGGCTTTACGCTCTTGTGCATTATACGATGCATTTGCACGATACGATCATTATTATTAATTGTTAAATATTGTTATTTATATGACGGTACACGATGACACAAAGGTACGTCATATAATATACTAATTAATTACTACCTGTGGGAGAGTTTTTATTGCCATTCATTCATATGATCCTATCAGATTAAGACTTATATAGCCTACATTTAAAAATAGCTGATCAATTATTCAAAAATAATTCTGATATAACTTCAAATGAAATTTATGTAGGTATATGCATTAAATATTTACTTATATGTTGAATTTATTGTTATACACAATATTATAGTTTCTATTTGTATAGATAACACATGTTATGTTGGACTGTTGGTTTATTTGGTTAAAGTCATTCTGCACACAGAGGACTATTTGCTTTCAGGGGAGGGGGTTGGATGGCTGAATGGTTAGCACGTACGCGTTGCATCATGAGGTCTGTCATTGAGTTAACTGGAGTAGTTTCCATTCCCCGGTTGTACATGTACGTGACACGGAGTAGGTCGCCTGTCCAACTGCGTGGGTTTTCTCCAGCTCCTCTGGTTTCCTTCCACTGCTAAAGATCCCTACACACAAGCAAATTATAGAAATAAAATTGAACCATATGTTAGTCCCGAAATGACCAAGTTTGTGTGGAGTGGACATTAAACTCTCTCTCTCTCTCTCTCTCTCTCTCTCTCATAGTTTATATATATCATCATCATATGATAATATATCATCAGGTAAAGTGGTTTTGAATCCCCAGTTGTACGTGCCAAGGAGTAGGATCGCCTGTCCAACTTTGTGGGTTTTCTCTTGGTCCTCCGGTTTCCTCCAACTGCTAAAGACCCCTACACTCAAGCGAATTATTGAAATAAAATTAAACCATATGTTAGTCCCAAAATGACCTAGATTGTGTCGAGTGGACGTTAAACCCCATTTCTCTCTCTCTCTCTGTAATGCTTTCCTACTCCATTTCACATGTGTCATACTTAGATACAAAATAAACCTTTTTAATTTTATAAATGGAAGTATAATAAAAACTTCTCAAAATTCTCAAAGTATACTTACTAGTTGTGTTTTCGAATAAAATCATTGATTAAGGAATTAGATTCGTTGATTTCACTTAATTTGATATGTTCGTTTGTTTTTGATTTCTGCTTATTGTGTCTTGTCCATAGATTTGTTTTTGTGTAAACTATGTGTGGTGCAGTTCCCCTGCACTTACTATTAGGAATTTAAATCGTCGATTTAGGAATTAAAATGTCCGTCAACTGGCTTAGTGTCTGTGTTCTCAAGTGGAGCTAATTGTAAATACATGTAGACAGTGTAAGTTTAGTATGTGTAAGAGTTATGGGATTCAGTGAGAATTGATATTTAAAGGGTATCTTCATTGCCTTGTTGACAGCTTGTGATAAATGGGGATATTGCTTGGAACAAATAGTTGGAAGAGATCATTACACAGAACTAGTCATCCATTTACGATAAATCGTTACTTCTAGATTGTTTAAGTGTTTTTTTTCGATCAGATTCGACAAATCTTCAAACCACATCAGTAGTGTTGTTATTTGTTCAATCATTTATATATTTTTTGAGAATATTTATCAGGATTTTCTGATGTAGTTTCCCCTTGTCAGTGGTGCAAGATGAGGGCCCGACAAGGACAGCTGTCTAGTCATTCAGATGGGACAAAAAACCAAGATCCCATCTACACATTTGAGTGCATGTAAAAGATACCTTGGCAGTTGGAATTCGATATAAGATAGTGTGCCACTGCCCAGGCAAAATTTTCCTCATAACACACTGTATGCCGTATGTTCATCTTCATTAGCCCAGTTGGAGCAGAACAGTAGGATATTAAACCCCATTTTTTGAGAATAAAATAAAGATTTAAACCAAACTAGGAATACATGTACAAAAGAAATGAAATAAGGTTAAATGTCCTACTTTTCTGCACCAACTGGGCTAATAATGACAGGCATATGCCATATAGTGTACTATGAGGGCCGTACTAGCTCAGAACGAGGGAGGTGGGATGTGTTGTCAGGGGTCGCTGTAAAATTGAAGGACAATGTACATCTACGGTCGGCAAAATTTTCAGGGGGTGGGAGCACGAAACTTTTTGCCGGGGGATTTTGCTCCCCCTGCGTCCCCCTAGTTAGTCTTATTTAAAATTCCAGCTGTCAAGGGGTTCTTTTACATGCATGCCGATGTGTACACAGGACGCCTTTTTTCTACCCATCTGAACGACTAGATAACACTACCTTCTAAGCCCGTCTGTCCTGCACCACTGAAAAGGGGGAACCATGCCGGGAAATCCCAGTGAACGATCTCAGTCATCAAGGGGATCAAATAAGGGACTTCCAGGTTAGTGAGCTAATGTCTCACACATGCCATTGGTTTTTCTACCCATTCGAACAACTAGACCCTTTACCTTGTAAGACCCACCGTCCTGCACCACTGAAAAGGGGAACCACGCCAGAAAAGCCAAATGAACTTTCTCGGTCAGTACAGGGATCAAACAAGGTCTTACTTACTGGGCCACCGTGGCTCCCATTTTTTTAAAAATGAATTGACTATTAAAACAAATTATCAATCCATGTAGAAATTGTATTTTTTATATGTGGGCTGAGTATTTCTCCTACTTACCTGACAGATATATAAAAACTGGTAGAAATAATAAAGGCAATTACTTATAATAATGGATCTTATTTGATTAACTTTATTTGTGTGAGAGAGAGAGAGCGAGAGAAAGAGAGAGAGAGAGATGGTATTTAAGTTCCACGGTCACAAACTAGGTCATTTCGGGACTGTCATATGGTTCAATTTTATTTTAATGATTTGCTTGCATGTAGGGGTCTTTAGCAGTGGGAGCAAACCGGAGGATGCGAAGAAAATCCTTGAGGTTGGACCCTACACCTTGTCACATACAACCAGGGAATCGTAACCACGCCAGTTGACTCAATGACAGACCTGTCTGGGCAAAATGTCCCTCATAGCAAACTGTATGGTGTATGCCTGTCTTCATTAGCCCAGTTCGGAGCAGAACAGTAGGACGTTAAACCCCATTTCATTTTATTTGTATGTTTACTATAGAAACAGCTGGAGAAGCAGCTAGCAAATAAAAGCAACATTACAACAGACGTAATTCTATCGTACCAATTATATTGGATTGATATGTTAAGGAGCCATGTAATTTGAAATAGACTATAAATTATATAATTATCAGATTATGTAATCAAATTGCCAACGAATTACAGGTTTAGAATTATTTAATACTAATAAATAACGCTTAACTTCATCGCGGCCGTAACAATGCACTTCTGATATTATATACTCAAATTACAGCCTTGTTAATTACAAAAAACATGTTTAGAATTAGATAAATGGTTATAATAAAAGCGTCTGCAGTAAGAACGCACTTCTGCTGTTATTCTCGTTGATTTAATGTGTTGGTGAATTAGATTGTTTTTTATACCTTTAATCAGGTACTTTATTCAGGTACTTGAAATAGGATGTGCTTTCAGAGGTAATTATGCTATTAATGTTTTAACTCTATTGATTAAATGATTTATTTATTATTCACAAAAAGTAACTTAATTGATTTGAAGTGAGCTAAGTTGTAAACAGAGCAATATATATAGAATTAAAAAAATGAAATGAAATGGGGTTTAGTGTCCTACTGTTCTGCTTCAACTGGGTTAACGAAGACTGGCATAATGTCATACAGTGTGCTATGAGGGAATTTTGCCTACTCGTATATCAAATTCAAACTCTCAAAGGTTCTTCCACATGCTCGCCAATTTGTACACATGAACTCAATTTTTTTGACCCATCAGAACAGGTATACATTTTTTTGTCCCATCAGAACAGCTATACATTGTTCCTCGCAAAGCCCTTCGCCCTGCACGACTGACAAGGAGAAACCAGCTGGAAAATTTCCAGTGAACTTTCTCAGCCAACACAGGGATCAAGCACAAGACCTCAAGTTTAGCAAGCGTGAGTCACCGTGCTCACATGACGGAGCGAATAGTACTTTAACGGTGTTAAAATGTTATTAAACCAGTGTTGTGTCGTTTATAGTGCAACAAAGTAGTACAGCTTCACGGTTGTGCCGATTTGTTCTGAAGTCCCGTACAAGTAACCTTGAGTAGGGAGTACACAGAAAATATCCTTGAGTAGGGAGTACACAGAAAATAACCTGAGTAGGGAGTAAACAGAATATAACCTTGAGTAGGGAGTACCGGTACACAGAAAATAATCTTGAGTAGGGTGTAAACAAAAAAAAATAGTTGGAAATCGACAAAGAGTAGGTGGAAAAGCCACTGCCTAGGTAAAATTTCATTCGTAGCACACAACTTCATGAAGGTCGGTCTACATTGGCTCGGTTGGTATAGAGCAGTTAGACATTAAGCCCTTATTTCATTTTATTAATTTTTAGAGTTATAGCCCTTGCTCACTCTATGGAATCTTGTCATCTTTAAAAAAATATTTAGGGAATATAGAACCCTAGAAAATGAAATGAAATGAAATGGGGTTTAATGTCTTACTGTTCTGCTCCTATACTGGGCTAATGAAGACGGGCATACGCCATACAGTGTGCTATGAGGGAAATTTTGCCCAGGCAGCGGTACTATCGCCTACTCTTATATCGAATTCCAACTGCCAGGGGATCTTTTACGTGCATTCCAATATATACACAGGACCTCGGTTTTTCATGTCATCCGAAGGACTAGACAGCTGTCCTTGTCAGGCCCTCTGTCCTGCATCACTGACAAGGGGGAACCACGCCGGAAAATCTGGATGAACTTTTTCGGCCAATGCAGGGATCGAACACCCGACCTCTAGGCTATAGAACCCTAGGAATCGACGATTCTTCATTAAAGATACATTATAGGAGAGTAGATAAAGAGCTGGTAGTTCTCACTATAATAGTTAAGGGCCGGTCACACAGGCTTCCGCGA